AGGGCTCAGGCTCAGGGAGGGTCCGCGGAGATGTGTGCAGCTCTGCTGGTGTGGAAACGCCCCCAGGGACCCCTGGCCTCACTCCGAGCTGGTGAGGAAATCCTGTCCAGCCCCGGGAACCCCAAACCTCCCGCTTCACCAGGACATTCTGATGAGCCCGGTCCGGGTCCTCAGCAGCCCATTTGGAGGGAAACTGCGCTTTTAATGGGAGCCCTATGGTGGGTCCTGCAGGCTGAGCTGGGGCCTCAGGGGACCCTCGCTGGGGCTGGACACTCAGGGCCCAAGGCTGTTGGGTAAATGCTGCCTCCTGGGCTTCCTGCCCTGCCGATCTTGGGGACAGAGCCCCAGGATGTCCTGGCAGGGAGGAGGGTCCCCGCCTCCAGAAGCCCGGCTTCATTGGACTCCCCTTTTCTTTGCTGCCAGGCCCATCTTCACCCACCTGCCCTGCTGTAGGGACGCAGGGAGGGTCTGTGGGCAATGCCTGAGCTAAAGCTCCTTGTGTCTCCCCAAAGGTTTCATAGGCACAGACCGTAAACCCCACCTCACTTGCAGTTGGATTGGGGCCTTTACATCAGCTTTTGTGTGTCTTGTTTGTTTAAAATCTTAAGTGCATATTTCTTTCTGAGAGGTTGGAGTGGCCATGGGGGAAGGGGAGGCCCCCAGGAGCCCTCTAGCTGCAGAGGCTGCCCCTGGCCATGGTGGTGAAGTCCAGGGAGAGGGCCAGGGCTGGCAGACCATGGGCAGCTGAGCCTCGGCGTTGGCACGGGTGCAGGGACAGTGCCAGGCACACAGATAAGCAGGCAGCCGTCTCACTGATGACGGCATCAATGTCTGAAAACTACCAGCGGCTGAGTGGCTGGTGGGGGATCAGGGTGTTAAAGCAGGCTCTCGGGAAAGGTGGCCCTGGTGGCCTTGGGTGACAAGGTAGTGGCTGCTCGGGTGGTCCTGTTCTTTCAGAAGCAACCTCTGGAGGAAGAACTCCCCCCTCCTCCCCACCTTATACCCCCTCCCCTTTCATTCTAACACCCTGGCTTCCTGCAGGGCTGGACAGGGCCCGAAAGGCCACAGAGCCCGACCATTGTCCATGGTACAGTGGGAAAGCTGAGACCCAGGGAACTTGTCCCGGGTCAGAGGGCCCCCGGCACCTGAACTAGGGTGGGAAGCCAGCTCCTGACTCTCAGGCCCACCCTGGTCCCGCAGCCTCAGCCTGGGACCTGTACTTGCTGTGGACCATGGAGCTGAGGCCTTCACTGCAAATGCAGGACCGTGTCCGTGTATAAATTAGGGACCTGGCAGGGCAGAGAGAATGGCAAGCGGTGGGCGGGCTGCAGAGCCCTTACCCAGGGTGGGCGCTGCAGGAGTGACCTCAGCTCCTCCCGGCGCCACAGGTGTGCCGGTGCACCTGGGGGGGAGGGGACTCCTGTGGAAATGTGCTCATTTTGCAGCTGAGGAGGGCTCGAGGGTTGTTTCCTACCAGTGGCAGCAGGCCCTGCCTGGGGGCAGCATATGGGAAACAGCACTGAGGTGAAGGCAGAGGCCCCCCTCCATTGCACCTGTGCCCTGCCCCCACTCACACCTGTGCCCTGCCCCCCTCGCACCTGTGCCCTGCCCCCCTCGCACCTGTGCCCTGCCTCGGGTGTGCCCTCTCGGGTGCGCACCGCCCCTTTATCAGGGAGAACACCACCTCACACCTCGATTCTGAGTCAGCGCGCATTCCTGCACTGTTAGCTGACGTTTGGTGAGGGAGTTTAGTGGCCCCCAGTTTTATTGGCTCGGGCGGTGGCCACTCATGATCACCATTGTTCCCAGGCTTGGCCCAGCCGCCCGAGGCATGGTGGAGTCAAGTGCCCTGAAGGAGGAAGCCTGCCCGGACTTCCCTTTAATTCTGCCAAAATCTGAACTCAGAGCCTTAACAATAAAGATGGCACACCACTGAGATTCAGCAGCCCGGGCCAGGATATTCATTTCATTTTTTTTATTTTTTTGTTAATCTTCACCCAAGGGTATTTTTTCCATTGATTTTTAGAAAGAGTGGAAGGAAGAGAGGGAGGGAGGGACAGAGAAACATTGATGTGAAAGAGAAACATTAATGTGTCGATTGGTTGCCTCCGCATGTGCCCCGACCGGGGCCGGGGATCGAACCTGCAACCCAGGTATATGCCCTTGACCGGGAACCAAACCTGAAACCTTCCCAGCAAGCTCACCTGCCTGTCGGCCCCTCTTCTCTGCATCATGACTGTTCAATGACTGGGGGAGGCCAGCAGCCTCAGAGATCAAAAATGTGATTAACTCTGAGCAGGGGAACAGGCGCAAACTGAAAGTGTTTTCCTCAGGAACCTCATGACTGGGAGTTATCGCCACGGAAATGGGGGGCGGGGAGACAGCCCGGGGCGCAGGCTGCCCTCCCAGCGCAGGGTCCCTGGGAGGTGCCCCGGCAGCAGCCCTGCGCCCTTCCTGGGCGGCCCTGGACTGTGGTGGGTGAGGGGCACCAGGTGGACATCGGACCTGGTGGGCAAGGAAGCAGGAGATGATGGGCTGAAAGGCTGTCCCCTCCCCACAGGGTCCCGTGGCGTGGCTGTNGAGCCCACAGGGTCCCGTGGCGTGGCTGTGCCTGGCAGAGGGGCTGGCTCTTCCACCTACTCCAAGCGTCCCCACCTGTGCCCCAACCTGAGGCAAGCCAGAGAGGGCGCTGGCAACATGCCCCCAAAACTCCAGTGGCTTTTGGTGTGTGGGTTTTAAATGCTGAGGCCAAACATGCTCTTTATTCAATTTAAGATTATTTTCTAAACATCTTATTTAAAACGCTTTAAGCATTTTGTCAATCTGTTCAATGGGAAGATTAGGTCACAAAAAAGACCAGGTCCTGCACCACTGACCCTCCATCCCCTGCACCCCTGCTGTCCCAGGACCGGCGCCCTCGGGGGCATCTCCTCCCTGCCCCAGGGCACAGCCTCCTCCGGGCAGGTCTGAGACTGGAGTCACTCTCCCTCTGTCCTCTCCTTGCCCCTGCTGCTCACCCCGTAGTTGGGCCAGATCTAAAAATAAGCACTTGGGCCCTAGCCAGTGTGGCTCAGTGGTTAGAGCACCGGTCCATGCACAGAAGGGTCGCGGGTTCAATTCCCAGTCTAGGGCACATACCTGGTTTGATCCCCGGTCCTAGTCTGGGCACATGCGGGAGGCAACGAATCCACGAGTCTCTCTCACATCCATGTTTCTCTCTCTCTCTGTGCTGCTCCCCTGTTCCACTCTCTCTTAAAAAATCAACGGAAAAAATATATCCTCAGGTGAGGATTACCAAAAAATAAAAATAAGCACTTGGGCAAATTTTTCAGGTAACGTCTAACCCCTGAAGCAGCGGCAGCCTGTGCTGGGGTTAGCTACGTGGGATGTGCGTTCACAATGCCGAGTCCATCGTCACTGGTTTAGACAGAGCACAGTGGACGCATATCACGCTCCTTAATGACACGGGGTCATCCTGGGAGCCTCCAAGGTGGCGCTAGGCCGGGAGGCCGAGGTTCCCATGGTCGGGGGCAGGCTGTGTGCCTCCCTGGGCTGTGGCCTCCGGGGTCCCATCTCCACGTGTTCCTGGCCGGTCTCGCTCTAGGGAGCCAGGAGCCAGGCCTCATCCCCGGGAGACGGAATGTCACTATCAGCTGATGGTCATGAGCTCTCATCTGCTCCGAAAAGAGAATGTCAAAGAATGTGCTTCCTACGGTACAATTTTTTTTTTTTTTTTCAAAAGTGGTTAAAAAAAATTAAACGGAATAAATCTCAGTCATCCATCAAATAACTTTTTGTTCCAATTTTTTAAAACCCGGAAACTATGCTCCGGGGAGCATCGAAAATCCATTTTGTTTTCATGTTTTCTTGTCAGTTCAGCTCTAATGAGGACAGTGTGGATGATCCTGGCACTCGGGATCCCCTCCGATGTGGGGTGCGAAGTCAGAGTGTGGCGAGGGTGGAGATACTGAGGGGCTGGGCAGAAAATGTAAGTTATTGCCCACCAATTTTAAGGCACAAGCCACGGCACATTCTCGTGGACAGCATGGGATCTCCAGTGGTATCTGAGTGCTGCTCGGAAGATGTCCCCTTTCACCGCTAGCCCCTCATGTGGAAGGTGGGAGTCCGTTCTTGGCGCAGGCGCGTTCTGCTAACGTTTGCCCAGCGAGCGCTCAGATGCTGAGCAGCGTGAGGGAGACGCTCCGTGTTCAGGAGCCTGACTGAGTCTTTCGTTTGACTTGAGGGCTCCCCCGTGAGAGCAGACAGTTGGACCCCTTCTCGGACATTCCCGGGAAGACCTGCTGAAGTCACAGCGTGGTTTGCATACAGTCGGTCACCCACAGCGGGACCATCGTACAAACAAAATCCTGTCCCAGAGCAGGGCCTTCCCTCCCCCAGGATCGCTAAGGCAGGACCCCAGGATCACACCTGGGGTCCCATCACAAAGCACCCCTAGGGCAGGGGAAGGAGGTGTCCCTTGGCATCGTGGACACTCACCCCACAATGGAAGGAGAATTAGGGGCCTGTGCCTAGGGGCATGAGGTCCAGGAGGAAGAGCAGATCCCTTTGAAAACTGGGGTGTGTTCCCTGGCCGGTTTGGCTCAGTGGTTAGAGCATCGGCCTGGGGACTGAAGGGTCGAGGGTTCAGTTCCGGCCAAGGGCACGTATCCCGGTTGCAGGCGTGATCCCCAGCCCCAGTTGGGGCCCATGCAGGAGGCAGCGAATCGATGTGTCTCTCTCACATCAATCTCTGATCTCTCTCTCTCCCTTCCACTCTCTCTGAAAAGCAATGGAAAAAGATCTCCTGGGGTAGGATTTAAGAAGAGAAAGGGTGTGGGAACTCCGCACGCAGGTTCACTTGTTTGCTGTTTGACCCAGGTACAGACAGGCTGCCTGGGAATCGGCTCGCAGGGCGGCCCGCGTCCTCCGGGTCAGCAGCAGCGCGGGCTTCCTGGGCTGACGCTCTGACTTTGCAGGTGGGACCCCAACAAGCAGCCGAGATGGGGAAGAAACTGGACCTTTCCAAGCTCACAGATGCGGAGGCCAAGCACGTCTGGGAGGTGGTGCAGCGGGACTTGGAGCTGAGACGCAGAGAAGAGGAGAGACTGGAGTGAGTGTGTGGGGCTGAGCCCATGAGCCCGTGTCTGCGCCTCGGGCTCCCTGGCGGGCGAGGGGCATCGGGGGAAGCCAGGTGCTGGGAAACGTCCCACCTTCTGGCCTCAGTGTCCTTGTAATTAAAACAAGGGACCTGACTTTCAAGTGTGCCCTGAACAGTTTAATCTCAGCTGGATCCAGCTTCCAGGTGGCGTCATTCCCAAGCTGGGTGACGCTGGGGCCGCTCCATTGTGAGAATGAAGGAGCTGAAGGTGACAGAGGGGTAGAGACTGGATGATTCCGGAAACGCCGGAATGCTGTGACCAAGGGGTTTCTGGACGAGGCTGACTTTCTGCCTTCCTTTCCGATCGTGTTGATGGCCCCCTCGTCTCCCCATCACCTCAGCCAAAACCCACCGGCATTAACTCCCTTCTGCCTGCACGCCCCCCCCCCCCCCCCCCCCCCCCCCCCCCCCCCCCCCCCCCCCCCCCCCCCCCCCCCCCCCCCCCCCCCC